TTCTATCAGATGTTCTTAGGTGTAGGGCCTAAGTAGCTGAATGTTGGTATGGGAAGTTAGAAGCGGAATGTTGGTAGCTGAAAGTTGGTAGCAGCTGTTGTTACATTTTAACAACATACCGAAAGCATATTTAGATACTATTTACATGTGTACAATGATTGCATTCTACTGTCTCAGCATTCCCAGCCCTTGAGATTCATTTTTTCAGATTATTATCCGCTCCATTCGTTGTGATGATTGGCCTTCTCATTCCGCTTGGTCGCTCGTATGTTTTGTAGGTCTGCTTGGATATTATTATTATCTCTCCACCGATATTGTTGCAGTTTTGTATTCATAAAAAAATTAGTGAGACTTCAAAGTAAAAAAAGAACGAAAACAGCTGCAGATCTTTAAAACTGTTATGCAGGTAAAAGATTAAGATTTATTAAAAGCTAGCGCGTTCTGAATGATTTACACTGCACCAAAAGTAGTAGCGTCGTCGCACACTGCCGTCTTGCTTAAATAAACTCATTCCTCCTGTTCACTTAAAGTGCATTCACAGTGCCTGCGTATTTGTGCCTCTTTGATAATAAACTGTAACGAATGCAGGCTTAATGTATGGTTTCAAGCATGTGTAGCATATTAACCTTTGAGCATCTGCTAGTGAGCACATTAACAACTATCTAATTACATTAAAGTTCATCTTGTTTTCCTAGGTCCGCACTTTCAAGTCCACTTCTGCAACAGCCTAAATGTATACTAACCTGCTGCATCCAAGGAAGCAGCTTGCTAAATCGCTGGGGGTTACCCTGGCGACTCGTGCCTAACTAGATAGCGCATTACCTCGGGGTAGTCATTAATCATGCAGGTACATTTGAACACGGTGCCTTGAGAAGAACTCCAGATAATTAATTCCTGTCAAGTATTAAATCTTTAAAGTCGACAGATGAAACTGTCGATATTTTTTTACGAGGATTTCTGCAGTTGTCCTTGAACATTTTTAGACCATGTTTTTGTTTCTTGCCCGGCTTAGTTTTTACGTTGCAGATCATGAAGTCTTAGTGCATGCCCCCGAGAACTGCTTTAACTGGTCTTCGTGGCGTTTGGAGGCTCAGGTTCAAATCCTGATGGAGTTATTAAAGCTTTCTAATTTAGTTTTGTATACTCTGTGTTGAAGTTTCTGTTTCATCGATGCACCTCTCCATTCGATTTATCAGTCTTGCTGCATAGAACTGCGTGCTCTGTTTTCTAAACCACATTTTCACTTCACATGTAACTTTTGCAAATTTCGCGAAATGTCTCCCACCAAGGAGGGTTTTCAGTGAACCATTATGTTGTATACTGAACAATGTGAGCACTCTACTGCAGTTGCTATGGAGTAAACTGTTACTCGCCTGTCACCACTGATCGTCTCCTCCTTCTGCAGGGATACATCTGTTGCAATCTCAACAGGACGACCAGATCGGACTTTATCAACAATTTTAGAGCTCTCTTTGTTTTTTAAACCCAGCTATGCATCGCTTTACGAGATAAACATCTGTCAGCATCAATAGAAAGCATTCGCTTATGAATGTCCTTTTCAAGCCGCCCTTTTGGCCCCCTCCCACCCCCACTGCCCTCTAAAAAACTTAACAGCACGTTGTTCTCTGAGGGTACACTCCGTAGTACAGTCGCTTTTTTGTTTGTTTATTGTTGCGAATGCGCCTGCAGCACCCAGCGCCATCAAACGATAGGAGCCATAAAGTTCGATGTTGCTGTCACCTCATGACAGCAGCTACACTTTCCTGGCATCTTATAACCATTTGTGACTTACTTATTGACTTTTATTAGTATATCAGTGGAAGTAAACAGTTCTGCGATGTCTCTCAATTCTTTAGAATGTCTTCTACAATGTTGCTGTAACATGATTCTCCAATGTCTGTGAATTATTTGCCCCGTCTCCTGTACCAGATAAATATCTCCTGATGGTTCCCAAATGTTGGTCGATAAGAACACTGTTAAATTACCACACAGACTGCAGAATACGACTTTGTCTTTTCACTTTTTGATGCCATGTTTGAGTCACATAGTAAAATACCACTCATCTGTTGATAGTGGAGATTCCGTTTGCTACAATTTAACGCACTATTTAAAATTGAAAGAGAAAAAAATTGAAAAAAAAAAAAATTGTCGAAATGCAGGAAACCAGGAAACCAGGAAAGCAGGAAAGCACACAGAAAGAACTCTACTAGAGAAATAATCATACTTTGATTGTGGCCTCTTTGCCCTTTCGACTCTCTTTGTAGATGGTTGAGGGTGGGGGGTGGGGGGGGGGGCCCACAAGTCATGTTTTCTGGGTGTTTCATTTCGTTAATCTATTATTTTTCACACACATGCCGTGATTGTAACTGACTCACAAAGCCTGTTGGAAGGGTAGAAACAGGTATGCTCCGTGCAGAGGGGAAAGCATCCCTTTAGAGGTTCCGGGTAGTTATCATCCTTTGGATATTCTCTCTAGGAATGTCAGGGTGTTGGGAAATGAGCAGGCAGATAGATTAGCCGGTTCTGCACCACTTGGTGGTGAAGTGATGTATGACAAGCTAGACGTTGTGCGTGCCCTCTGGGAGCAAGTTAACAGTGCCGAAGCGCAAAAAGATAATTACGATCTGACGCACAACACTCAAGGGAAGGACGAGAAGGATACACAATCAGACAGTTACTCGTGCCATAGGAACTGGAACTCTTCACTTACTGCTGAAGATGGGGACGGAGCGCTTATGGGAGTGTTCCGAGTGTTATGATGTTGATTCTTTATTCAATATGATTCAAAAATTTAAATATGTTCTCCATATCTTTTTCATTGTAGTCTCTAGTTTCAGTCTTTTTGTATTAATGATCTCCCTTTATCTCTTCGATACTGTGATTTTCTAAAAGACATTCTATTTATACTGTTATCACATTTTCTCAGTATGTGTTCTATTCAACACCTGCGTCTTTTCCTCAGTTTATAATTCTCTGAAATGTGTTTGGAAGTGAAGTTAACCTTAGTTGTTAACAATTCAAAAACACACAATGCTTGAACGTTTTCTAACGTTAAAAAATTATTGTGTCTAGAGCGCGTGGATATATATTAGCAATGTACTGAGCATCTACAACAACTGAATGGCTGTATATTTAATTGATTATCAATTCGTTACGTCCTTCTCAGGACGTAATTTTTTGTTATTTGAAGCCCCACTCTGGCTTTTGCCAGGGGCCGCAATATAGGCAGGTCATCATTATGGCTAAATGTCTGAACGCGGTTTCTGGGACCTCTCCACGGTGATCCTCATCCGCATGGTGACACTTTGTGTCAACGGGTGTTTATCGCTTGTGTGATGTCCTGGTGGGGTAAAAAGCCAAGCCAAGCCACCGAATGGCTGCGAATGCTAACAATATATTGTGTATCTACAACGAGTGGATGACTGTGATTGCTAACAAAAAATTGTGTATCTACAACGAGTGAATAACTGTGATTGCTAACAATATATTGTGTGTCTACAACGAGTGAATGACTGTAAATGCTAACAATATAGTGTGTGTCTACAACGAGTGAATGTCTGTGAATGCCAATAATATATTGTGTATCTACAACGAGTGAATGACTGTGAATGCTAACAATATATTGTGTGTCTACAACGACTGGATAACTGTGAATACAAATAATTTATTGTACATCAACAATGAGTGAATGAATGAGAATGCTAACAATATACTGTGTATCTACAACGAGTGCATAACTGAGAAAGCTAATAATATATTGTGTATCTACAACGATTTGTGAATGCTAATAATATATTGTGTATCTAGAACGAGGGGATGACTGTGAATGCTAACAATATACTTTTATCTCCAACGAATGGATGACTGTGAATGCCAACAATATATTGTGTATCTCCAACGAGTTGATGACAGTGAATGCTAGCAATATATTGTGTATATACAATGAGTAGATGACTGTGAATGCTAACAATAGATCGTGTATCTACAACGAGTGGATGACCGTGAATGCTAATAATATATTGTGTATCTACAACGAGTGGATGACTATGAATGCTAACAACATACTTTTTATCTCCAACGAGTGGTTGACTGTGAATGCCAACAATATATTGTGTATCTCCAACGAGTGGATGACTGTGAATGTTAACAATACATTGTGTATCTACAACGAGTAGATGACTGTGAATGCTAAAAATATATTGTGTATCTACAACGAGTAGATGACTGTGAATGTTAACAATATATTGTGTATCTACAACGAGTGGATGACTGTGAATGCTAACAACATACTTTTTATCTCCAACGAGTGGATGACTGTGAATGCCAACAATATATTGTGTATCTCCAACGAGTGGATGACTGTGAATGCTAACAATATATTTTGTATCTACAACGAGTAGATGACTGTGAATGCTAAAAATATATTGTGTATCTACAACGAGTAGATGACTGTGAATGTTAACAATATATTGTGTATCTACAACGAGTGGATGACTGTGAATGCTAACAACATACTTTTTATCTCCAACGAGTGGATGACTGTGAATGCCAACAATATATTTTGTATCTCCAACGAGTGGATGACTGTGAATGCTAAAAATATATTGTGTATCTACAACGAGTAGATGACTGTGAATGTTAACAATATATTGTGTATCTCCAACGAGTGGATGACTGTAAATGCTAACAATATATTGTGTATCTACTACGAGTGGATGACTGTGAATGCTAACAATATATTGTGTATCTACAACGAGTGGATGACTGTAAATGCTAACAATATATTGTGTATCTACAACGAGTGGATGACTGTAAATGCTAACAATATATTGTGTATCTACAAGGAGTGGATGACTGTGAATGCCAACAGTTTGTTGCGTATAAACACCTGAGTGTGCCCACAAGCAAGCGTTCGACAAGAAGCTGTTGGAGAGGCAGTTGAATCGCTAATCTCACCAGCAACACCACCAACAACAGCAACATCAATAAACTAACAATGCATGTTTATGCATGAGCAAGCAGCTAAACCGACCTTGATACTTTATTCTGAATGGCTTGACATGATGTCAAGTCGACACCATAAGCACCATGACATTTGTGACATTGTCTGTCAAAGTATTTTGTCTTGTGTGAGGTGACTTCAGAGCCTTGTTGGAGATAACGAATGACATAGAAGGCTGATATACTGAGAGAAACTTTGTTAAGATAATGAACAAACTATCCTTTTCCTTATTCCCAGGTGGGTTAGGCCGCCTTATTTGGGGAGCGTGAGGGAAGGATAGATTTGTTTAGGATCACACGTGTTGAACCGTTAGGTGTTTGAGCCTTGTAGTACGGATTCTGAATGGCTGGTACTTCTTTTCGTATAAAAACAGTGTAATGTGCGTCACCTTTTGTGAACACGAAAACACGAGGACAATAGTTAAAATAATAAACGTAACAAGGCCCTAAAGTGAGCAATGTGACAGTATAGAACCTCGTGTAGTAAACGACCAGATAAAGCCAATGATCAATACTTATTTCCCCGTGGGGGTTCCGGGGCCCCGTTGTGAGGAAAACAAGTATAGATCCACTGCCTCCCCAACAAACATACCGTAGGAGTCGACTAGCCGGGTGCTTTCTTCAAAGTCGGCGTGAATCTGTATTGCATACAATAAAATTCAGGTATGTAAAACGGATGTGCACGCAACAGTCAGACTCTAGAACAAAACTGAACTTCAGAGGTGGACGAACAACCAGAACTTTCCGCCGAAAGAAGAAGAAGATTACTTGTTTAGGTCCCAAAAGTTGCTCCCTCTGTGCCTTTTGTTACAAAGAGTTTGTACTATAGAGCAAGTACTCATTGTAACTAAAGATTAAGCGAATACATCTATAGTACAGATGAATAGAACAACTATGCAGCTATGTGGCTTAGATTGTTCCCGTGGCTGTTGGAGGGAGATATAAGAGTGGTGATTGATCTGGGGACGCCAGAAGAAAACTGGATTAAAAAAATTGAGGGGAAAAAAAAGCCAAAAATAATAAAACAGAGCCACACAAAACAAGAACAAACAGCTCACGCACATACACATGTATGATGCGAAAAAAAGAAAAGCATAAACAGAAATTAAATATGGGACCCTGAAAGGGGACTTGTGAGTGGCACGGAGACTCAGTTGTGGGCTTGTTGACTTCGGGATGGTATGCCTGGAGGCAGCCTTGATAAAGTCAGTTACGGTGTACGTGTCAACCAGCAAAAACCACAGAAACCAACTCAGAAACCAGTGGCATGTATGTCCAAAACAGGAACTCGCCAGGCGTACCATTGCGCCGCAAGAAAGGAATGACACCTACAAAGGAACAGGGGACTTAACTAAAGCCAAGCCTCCGAGCAGGTTGAAAAGTGAAAAAACTTTTTTTCGCTTTTCAAGATCAAAATCAAGGATCTGGGCACTCGTGATACAACATTCTCTGAGACAGCAGTGCATGCACGGCAACTGATATCCAATGTGCAGACAGATGCAACTACACGTAAAATTAACATTAAAACGCTACAGAGAAAGTTGTGTAAAGTAAGAAGTCAAGGACCTTTTTCCACGCCTTCAGGCCTATTGAGCACATAAGGCTAGAACTGTATTGTATACACCAATAGGCACTTAGTTGGTGATGTGTTCAATACCCCACCAGCTGCCTTTACTTCCCAGGTCTCCACCTGGTACCCACTTAAGGCTGGGTCGACCTGGAAGCCAAGGTCATTTTTGCACAAAGTCCGGTACGGCCAGAACCTGAACCCACGACCTTCCGATCACAGGCGAGTGTTTAGCAGCGACGCGAAAGCGGCTCCAGAGAAAGGTCGGACATTGTGTAACTTAAAACTCTCCCAGCAAACGTATGGTGAGTTGCTTCGTACTAACAAAGTTAATAAACAAGGTGACATACACAGTAACTTACCGGGTGAAAGTCGGCGGCGTCTTTGATGATGGTCCCTGACACAGGTGAGGTGGTGTCAATGTCAAAGTTGAGACGTCTGACAGCCCTCAGTCGCTTCCCGGTCGCCACAGAGACTTGAGCTTTCTTCTGTGGTGCTGTTGTTCGAGCCTTCTGTGATGAGGATTTTTTACCAACAGGGGTAGGGATTGTTTCGTTGAAGAGCTCGTTCTTTTTCAGAACTGGCAGTGATTTGGACAAGTCTTGGGGATATAGATCATTTGAAGCATCGTCGTTATCGTCTATGATGGCTCGTTTTCTGCTCGGACTGTTGAGTGGAGAGGGTGTATTTGAAGGAGTTGATCTATCGATAGTTATTGCTGGCTCTCGTATTGCTGGCGATGGCAATGGTGATGGCGATCGTAATAAAGCTCTGTGAGTGTCTTTTAGTGAAGGCACAGATATGCAATGTGCGCGTGATAGATTTTCCGCCTGTGCTGCTGTCTCGGTCTCCAAAAGCACGTCTGGATTTATTGCTTCAGGATAGAGTGACCCAGCACGTGCATCCGCCCCTGAGAGATATGAGAAGTTGCTTGGATTGTAAGAGAAGCGGGCGGGAGACAAAGGAGACATCATGGCACAAAGGGATCTGTCCGTGTTGGCGGTCAGATAGAGTTTATTGAACGAGTCAAGGCGAATCACTGCTGCGGTAGTCGATAAGGCTGCGATTGAGTGGCTGGTAGGGGAAGAGTAGTAATGCTGCTGCTGCTGCTGCTGCTGCTGCTGATGTTGATGCAGAAATGAACTATGAAGTTTATAACTGTCTTCTTGCTCCACATAAACAGCTATAGGAGACGATGTGTACTTCTTCCTGCTGTGCATGCTCAGATCCATCGGTGCATCAGTTGCTTCCTCGTGTGGAAGACTACTGGCCATGTAGTTTCCGCTGCTGGAGATCATGTTGCAGTTATTGTTGATGAAATAATTATTAGCAGAAGTTGTCTTTGTCACTGAATAGTTGTTGTTGTTGTTGTTTTCCTGGTCGCAAACAAGGTTGTCTTTTTCGCGGGCGTAGTAAGTGTGAGAACTGTTCGGGCTGGCGGCGTACCCTGAGTCTGTGGAACTGTAGCCGCCGTAGTCGTTGTTGTAGTCACCGTCTCTGATGATGATGTGTTTATCGGTGTCTATGATGGTGGTGGTGGTTGTGGTGGTGGTGTCAGCTCCGTCTTGACACTCCAGCAATCGACCCCGATAAGAAAGAGCACCTGCGCAATGTTTGTGTCGTTTCACCAGAAAATGACGTGGCATTGTGGAATTCCCGGTCCTCTGGTTGGGTTTGTGTCGGCCTCGCCAACAGGTCCTATCAATGTCTATTTAATTTACCAGGATTTATATTTAATCTTCAGTGCTGAGGAGCAAAGCTAATTAACTACTATTACATGACTAATCTTCTTCAATCCTCATCGAACTGATATTGAACTGAATCAATGTACTTGCGACTCTTACAGGCTGAGGTGGTACACTGTTTAAACTTTACACTGCTTCGCTTATTATTTGTTTATTATATACTTATATAAATATATATATATATATATATATTTTGTTATTAGAAATAACTTATTTACTGCGCTCCTTGGTTAGAGATTATATTGCACTAAGTACCTAAAAAAGTATATTGCACTGGTTAGTCAGTTATTATATTGCACTTAGATACGATTATATTGCACTAGTAAGAGAGGTTATAAGGCTTTGATAATCGTACTCAATTTACAAAAGTAAATGAAATCAATGTGCCTCAACAGTAACGTAAAATAATACAGTAACAAAATGTTCACAAAGGCACAAGTGAAAAAAGTTATAAACAATGTTTGCTGGAACCAAATTTGTTTGTCAGAAAAATCAATTCTGATATTGCACAAGTAAATATATGATTAAAGTTCTTTAGCAAAAAGATAAAAATCAAGTGAAGAGATATTAACACCATAAAAATAAATTACTGGTTTGATTGCACTTGGGAATACAGGGCTCGACTGCACTTGTATGCATGTCCCCAACAGTCATTGATCAACGTGACTGGGGACTGCACCAAGCGCACCAACGAGACACAATTAAGGCAGCGGGAATGACCAGAAAGAGGAGCACTTGAAATAAGAACAAGGCACCGTCTGACATGTGTCGCAAATTATCATCAAATATTAAACGAAAGAAAAATTATCGGCACTTAAAATTTGTAATTCACACACATAAAAAGTAACAATTTTGAAACCTACCCTTTTAGAAAAAAAAAAACCAATAATGAAAATATTTCACATAAAAATTTTGATTCCGAATTTTATTTTATAATGAAAATTGTTTATTTGTAAACTAAAACAATATTTGCCTCAGACTTATAAATCTAAAGCAGGTACATTAAAGAAGGCACACGAAACATAATGAGTAAGGCACGGTTGTAAACAGAGACATACAATTTAGTTCTTTATGTTACAGCAATATTGCACATAGTTTGGCCAATTATAGGGAGATATGTCACAGAAACACCAAATATTTACACAATATTTACATTACATGGTATTCAGTTTAACAACTACTATTGTTTAAAAGTTCACTTTGCATTGACTAGACAAACTCAAACGTTTGCCAGGCTATTTTCTATGATATATTGTCATTCTTTAGATCAAAGCAGTTTCTTATTTCTACATACGTTAGAGAGATTTTACATTATTCAGTTAATAGTAGTTAGGTAATGTTTAATATATACGCTGATAAATGTTTTGATAAACTGTTCACAACTCATAATTTTGCTCCTATCCGTATCGTGCCTCGATTCCTTCCTACATTGCCTGGTGCGAAGTTAAACAAAGTCACTTGTTAAAGTTAATGAACAGAACCGAAAGCCATACATATCAGTTTGTCAATTTCAATGAAATGACCTCTCGACACAGCGCAGGTGACTGTCAATGCACACGCCACACAGATTGTCTATTCACAAAGATGAAGAGCTGAATCACGCACTATTGGTGATAGTAACAGCAACAGCAGCAGCAGCAAAAGTCCCCATGATGGTACACAGACAAGTATCACAGTCAAAGAGAACGTGAAGTTCTTCCTCAGTTTGTTTAAGCGTGGACACGAAATTAGCGTTGATTACAGCAAGGTCTAAGATTAGTTCAACCGATTCATTTCCTTTTATATCGGCGTTGCCACAGGAGTCACTGAACTTCCTTTCCTGGTTAAACACATTCCTTGGCTCATAAATATGCATGTATTCGCGTGCCGCTGATAGCTCCTCCCCCCTCAAGCTCACACGAAAGTTCGTGGCTTGTGAAAAGCGCGTGCCTGCGTTATCCTGCCTCCGTCCCTCTCCCGCTCAGCGTCAAATATCTCCACTGAAATGACTTCACACGTGGGTCCCTGCCCACACACCCGCGAGTGGGGGGAAAGTTGTGAGAAACAACGCAGATTTCCTTAAATTAACCCTGGGGTGGCAGCCAAACAGTCCGATATTGCTCACTAGCATGGCATGGCAATATTCTAGCAACAGTCAACAGTCCCTACATCTAGTTAAGTGTTTGACTGAGGCAGCTAAATACACAATGATAAACAATAAGAGAATGGATTTGGTGCAAACAGTTAAACTGCATTAAAATAAAATTGAGGAAACAATTTGAGTTTCCCTTTTAAAACTACGCTTATATAAACCAAAACAGCCCGTCCACATACACACACACACACACACACACACACACACACACACACACATACTCTCACTCACACACAAAATCGCTATTTCAACAGATGATGGTGAATCTCGTCCTGGCAGTAAATAAGTTAACTCCTTGATGCCTCATCGTGTGGTTCTGTGGAAGATGTTTACTATTCTTTTGATAGTCAAAGTGAATGATATGGATGGCAGAAATAGGTAGAAACCTGAAGACAAATTATGAAAAGCCATTCGGAAAAAAAGGCACAAATCATGTCCAACACCAGGATTTAGACTCACACAATGGGGATGATTTAAGGCGAGAGAGAGAGAGAGAGAGAGAGAGAGAGAGAGAGAGAGAGAGAGAGAGAGAGAGAGAGAGAGAGAGAGAGAGAGGGGGGGGGGGAGTCAGACAGTCAGACAGACGAAGAGTCAGAGAGAAAGAGAGTCAGACAGTCAGACAGTCGAACAGACAGCCAGACAGGCAGAGTGAGAGAGAAAGAAAGACAGACAGACAGACAGACAGACAGACAGACAGACAGACAGACAGACAGACAGACAGACAGACAGACAGACAGACAGACAGACAGACAGACAGACAGACAGACAGACAGACAGACAGACAGGGGGGGGGATGACTCTTGACAGCCTTGATAGTGGCAAGCAGAGCTCCTGAGAAAACCAGTGTGCTCGGGCCCCTATGATAATCACTCGAAGAAGGAAATTACTTATTCATGTTCAATGTCTCGACGTACAGGAATTCGCAGTGGCGTTGGCGATAGACGCCCGCTTTCGGATCGGAAGGTCGTGGGTTTGCGTCCTGATGGCGCCAGACTTTTTTTCAAAAATCTCCATGACTTTTTGGTTGACCAAGTCTTGAGTGTGTATCATGTGCCGTCCTAGGAAATAAAGTCGGCCGGCGTGGTGCTGACCACATCATCAACCAAGTGCCGATTGGTCTATAAAAAGTATAGGTCTATCCCTATATCCCGTATACGCCTAAAGGCGTGGAAAAGAGACCTTTTCTTCAGACTTGACGTACACAGTTTAGCATGGGGCCCATATAAAGGTGGGGCTCTCAGAAAAGTACTCAACGGGCCCCTGCGTTAAGACGGCCCTGGTGGCAAGGGTAATTGTCAGCATATGATCTGTACTCACTTATACATGTTTTAGGGGTGGGGGGGGGGGTGGGAATCTCCAGATGCGGATGGAGTTGGAGGATCGTGCATGTCAATTGGCATGCCACTCGATTAAGATGATGATGATAATATCGCACATTGTACTTGGTTGAAACAACTAATGCATATCGACATACAAAAGCAGAACTGCTCTGCAGCTCTTCCGTGTCAATCTATTCAATGACAAGGATGTGTGAAATAACGAAGTTCTGAAAAATGCAACTTAAAAATAAAAATAAAAAAATAAAATCGAGCAATTACCACACTGGAAGTTATCGAAGTTTTTATTGTGTCGTCAAGCAATCAACAATAGCGAGACAATCAAACACACTTGATAGAACAAGGCTGACAGATATGTTTCCTTTGCTAAATAAATACTGTGGCGTGCGTAGGCGCTTCATGCTGATGTGTATCGTACCAAGATGAAATAGGCCAAGTAGGGGTAAAACAGTAGTTACTTCAATGCTTTCAAAAGGTAGAGCTCGAACGCTATGCGTTAAGTTCCAACGGTTGTATTGATATATACAATTAGCAATGATCAACACAAGGATAAAATATGCAATTAATAATCAAGCACATCAACCAAAGCTCGCTCTTACATCCATGGACTGATATGTCCTCACGATAGGTCGCAGTCCGACCTTGAGATCCAGACAATCATCTTTGTATTCAGTTCAGCTGTCTGAATTAAATACTGAAGGTATACCGGCTTACTGCCGAAATGTAACATTCACCAGCTTCCTGCTGAGGTCTATCTTGGAATCCCGGGGTAAAACGTCCTCAGGGATCCAACTTTATATAACGTTTGCTTCCGTGGGATCCCGGGGTAAAGCGTCCTCAAGGATCCACACGTCCGTCTCCTTCGGACTATAAACATCGACTGCCTTTGACAACAATACCTTCACAACGTTACGTATTGTTTTGACGTCTTATTTTCTCACTCCGTACTGGTGCGTTCTGGTGCACATCCGCACGCGACAAATACATCTTGATAATTGATGTACTGGCTGCCTTAACATACATCAGAATGAGGGATTACTATACGAGTACTTGACACGTTT